ATCTCTCTCCACATCTCGAATGTGGATTATTGATTTTGCACAATTATAATGACATCCAGTAAGTGAGTGATACTAGAACGGGACGGTAAGGGAAGATCCAGAATCACACAATTCGTGCTCCAGTAACAAAAACCACAATATACTGTGAAATCATTTATTCGTGCAAGAGGAGCAGAAGCAGGGAATCCCAAAATAGAAATTCGAGAATTGTAGAATTTTTTTTTTTTCCCGGTTGGAATGAAATAAAGAGATCGCCAGCGGCCTGTCCCCACCTCGCTTTGGTAATGCATGCTTTCCCTAAACCTAACGCCTGGTTTACCTCTACGCTTGCTACATGTTCAGAGTCTCCTCCTTGTGGCCTGCGAAAATTCTCACCGCGCCTTTGCCCCCACACCGGTATCCCAGGACTCCAGAGACAAATCATCTGTTTTTACCCAGACAGCCCAGAATCGCTCGCTTACGTGCGTACATTAAACTCAAGGAACCCCACCCCCCTAAGATCACGCCGTCGGCCTTTTGAAAGGATGGGCTTCAGTGTTTAGCACCCACTCGTCCAGACTGATAGTATCGGGCGTAGAGTAGAGGAGGTAGAAGTACTTCAACGTCTCCGCGAGCCAGAAACTCTCCATCTCGTCGGATTTTGCGGGTACTTTAGCGCTGACATCGTAGATTGCCGAGTGGCCGTGCTCGGTCGATGTCGCCTTGATGATCGCCTCGAACATCTTCCAGCCTTTATCCTGCCATGATGGGTCGCCGGTGATGCGGTACATATACCACACTGACTCTATTGCTTCGGGTCTACGCGCAAGTGGTTAACAAGAGATCTTTTGGAAGGAATTGATTGAATCACCTCAAGATGTATTTCTTGGACTTGAAAGACACGAATCCAGGAGGTATTCTCTCCTGTAGGATGCGATTCGCTACATATTCCTTGTGATTCATAGGCCGCAAAGGATCTCGCAAGATTTCCGCCTCTGGCGCAGGTATAGACGCAGGTACAACTGCAGACGGTGAAACTTCAGCGTCAACGAGAGGCTTCTCAGCCCCATGTCCAGCGGTCTTGGCCATACTTTCAAGCTCAAGTTCAGCTTCTTTGGACTTCTCATCATAGAACTTTTTTGATTTCTCTTCTGCATCCGTAAGTTGGACTTTTGGTGCCGTAGCAGGGGCGTTGGGGTCCTCTGGAGAGGTCTGACGTTTCTGCAGCGAGGCGGGCCCATTCTCTTTCAGCGTTTCAGCACCAGTAGAGGGAGACAATAGCTCGGGAGTTTCCTCCAATTCGGCTTGTTCGGCCATCGTGGCAGCATTAGCAGCATCCGCTTCCTTTTTTTTCCGGTCGTAATTGGCAACGTTCTGGTCTCTCGTGGCACCCATAGGATCCAAGAACTCCCAATACTTCGTTTCGTTCCAGGTGCATTGATCTGTGCTCGGGCAAGGAAGCACGATGATACCTTCAGGCATGATTCCAGACTCGGTTGTCTCGTAGGCCCAGACACAACCATCGGTAAGCTTCTTTGCAAGTTCAAGATCGTCGTCTATGCCAAAGATCTTGGCTCCCATGCCCACCATTCCCCCAATAAAGCAAGTCAAATGGTCGGCCTCAGCAGTCAATTTCGGGACCTTTTCCGGGTCTTTGGTAGCGGTGACGGATCCTGCGAAGAGGATATCGCGGTTATCGGGAGTCATGGGACGATAAAGCATCCATTTTCTAATAGCCTCAACGGTCTTCAAATACATCTTGCTGTAAGTCTCGTCTAGACCACCAAGGAGAAGATATTGCTTACACACATTAGCTTTGAGTCCGACGGCTGGCCTAACCTACTCACCTTGGGGAAGTACTCATAAGTCGAATCCTGACCTCCTGACATGGAGAATTTCTCTAAGCCAAATTCCGATTGTGACTCCAGGCCCTGTGGCTTACAATCCCACTCACCGACCCTAGCACCTACCTCTTCCCGTGCTGCATTAATATCAGCTGGAAGGTCAGAGACATCAGTCCTCTTTTTCTTCGTACTATTTTTCTCAAGTCAGTCTCTGAAACGGTATCAGGGGTAGAGGGCTGGTATCCTGCAGAAGGCTCTGCAGGACTGGGTGTTGGCTCATACATAGGATTCGCCACAGGTAGTTGCGGTTTAGTCGACCAAGTTTTGTTGCAGCCAGAAGCATCCACATTTTCTGGGAACACTCCAGGAAGCCTGGTACCACGATCTTGCCATTCTGAAAGCGCATTCGTTACTCGAGCGATAGCATCATAGTACTTAGGTTCCTCGGTCAACTGTGCCAATCTCGTGAATTCCATGGACAAAGACCCAAGTTCTGCCAAATTGGACCGCGTACTGGCGCGATGTGGTTGAGAGGCATAAGCTGGCATCCAGTTATAAAACAATACTGGCATCCTGTTGGGAGTATCAAAAGCTCCGATCAACACTTCGGCCAACTCTACAGCTTTGTCTAGCAAGTTCTTGTACTTTCCTTCACTAACATCATAGGCTGCCAGAAGACCGCCTAGATATCTGATTGTAGTTTCGAACATTGGAATATCGCGTCGTGGACTGGTGGTGAAGTCAATCGAATCAACCGCCTTGGTAGCTTCTTCAAACTCGTCGTGCAAGCCCATGATCCAGAGCGTGTCCAGACTATCTACCAAAGTTGCCGCCCATCCACAGAAGGGGTCACGGAACTTGCCCGAGACAGGCGATAGCTCGTCGTGAAGCCAGGCCTTGGACTTGTACCCTGTCCAGGCCTTCATGAACTCCTCCTTCACTTTTGTCTGGCGCTTCTCCCTGTTGATCTTCGCATCCGTCGTCTCGTCATTGAAGACATGCTGAATTTTAGGTATCTTCACAGGGACCCCTGTGGGAAGTTTGATGACGGATCCCGGAGGCACTGGGAAATGCTCTTTTTGTCTCTCCCAGTGTATGGTTACTTGGTGTTCGGGGGGTAAAGATGAAAGTTCCTGCCTGCCTGGCGGGGATACCGCGTGTATTTCGTCCACTACATCATCTCCTCTGACCTTCGTCGGTGGAATTGACTGCGGATCTGGCAGATCCTCATCAGGCTTCAGAGCTGGGGCTTCGGCTGGTGCCGCAGGTCTAGAGGCTAGCTCGACAATTGGCTCCTGTTTACTCGCGGCTTTAGGCTGGAGAGACTCTTTCATCGGCTCGTTCTGCGCTTCCTTGTCCGGAGATACTTGGATATGGTCGTGCTCGTGGGCATCGTGTTGAGATGGAGAATCGAAGTCCTGAACATGCGCGGGATCCAGCAAATTGCTCGTTCTTCGTACATGCACAACCAGGAAAATGAAGATGACGGCGAAGAGGACGAATACGCGGTAGCGTCGTAACCTGGGCATCTCGAGATGCTGCTGGCCACTCGGGCCTGTGAAATTAAGATCAGTAAGAACCCCTCGGTAGGGCGGGCACGTAAGGTACGGAAGCTGGAAATTGAGCTTGAAGCAGCATGAGGTGAAGTGCAATGAGTGTGTTTAGTCCATGACCATGAGCATGAATATGGGAAAATCGAAGGCGCAAAGCAACGATAAAAGCCCATAAGATCTGTCGAGACGCGCCGCAGTCCGCCGCTAAGTGAGCCGTTGTGAGTAAAGTAAATAAGAAGGCAGGTTTTTCTTGGCTGCGTTGGGTTGCGCTTCAGAATCAGCAAGGGGGTGAGTGACCTGCCTATTTTTATACTTTGCAGTCGATTATGGTGGCTCTAGTTGGATGTATTAAGCCTATGTATGTACGTACGGATACATCCACAAACCTAAAGCCAAGTACTCTACAACGTTTGTACTACTACAAGACAGATTGCGAAACTGACAACGGTCCGGATGTTGGATTGGACATCTGAGCTCTCCTTTTCTCAATCAACTACTGCAACTGCCCCTGCCCCTGTCTACCCGATGCCCGACCACCTCCGTGGGTACCGGTACTCTACCCTGAACAGAGGAGAGAAAGAGTAGAATAAGGAATGGGATTGGGCTGTCCCAATAACGTAATAATGCCGCTTTGGTGTACACCATTGAAGCATGAACCCGAGAGAAGATACCGGTAGTTAACCATGGGGGAGAGAGAGAAGTTCAAACAATCACGGGCCAGCCACATCGCCGGCTATATCTACTCATCACTGCCTCTTGAAAAATTATTTAGCGACATTCTGTAGAAGTCTGAAGTGATTATGTGCTGGGACACATATTCCTTGACGTAGGGGCCTTCATTAGACGGGCATTACTTTAAGGCAATCCAGCGAATGTACCTCACCACCACCGACAACGGCTCCCTGCCGAGATCCTTCACCCGGTGCATGTGCCTCTAACCCCCCCCCCCCTCTCCCCCTCCCAAATGGGTGAGTGCTGTACTGTACATCGCGGTGTTACATCGTCTATTGAAGAGCGCCCAGACCAGTTCCATGCCAGGCACCGCAAGGAAGAACGAGCCGAACTACCACCAGGCGGCTCTCTAGCCGTCCATATCCGGTCCAGGGCCTCCTTGACGACCCATCTGCCTCGCCTTCAACATCTCATCGCAGAGAAGGAGATTTGATGCGATCCCAGAACTGGAAGCAATTGCGTTTCTTAAGACACGGAATGAATCGTAGACACCTTCGAGAACAGGGTCCATCGGTTCACCAGACTTCAGGTCCAGTCCGACGACATTGCCCTCGGCTTGCTCATCCTGCAGACTGGCAACTGTTCACAGATGTTAGATACTTGAGTTTGGCAGGGGTCAAGAATACTCACGCGCGTCTTGGACGTCGTGACCAGCGTTCGCAGCCAGAGTCTTTGGAATGATCAACATGGCGTCTGAGAAAGCTTGAACTCCCCACTTCGCCTTTCCCTTTACCGTTTTGCGGAAAGCCTCGCTATTCAGGTGGGCAGCCAATGCTACCTGGAAAGCTCCTGCACCTGGAACAACACTCTTGTCGACAATCATGTTGTATACGCTTCGAAGACCATCCCGAACCGCATCAGAGATTTGGGTGATGGTGTGCTGATTGGGTCCCTTGATGAGGATCGTTACCGATTTGGGGTCCTTGACATCCTCGATAAACGTGTACTTCTCCTCTCCAAGCTGGTGTTCGTAAACGTTTCCTGCCCATCCTAAAATCTCTGGTGACAAGTCATCCACGCTGTTCTGCGCAGTACCACCACAGATCAACTGCAATCTCTCCATATTACGTCTCTTGGCCCGTCTCAAAGCGAAGATACCATTCTTGACGAGCACATCGAGAGACAGGGGGTCGATTCCTTTTTGGTTGATGATAACGAAGCCCTTCTTGGGATCATTGCCACAAACTTCCTTCTTCAACTCCACGATCTTTCGTAGCTTCTCATCCACAAATCGGCGTTCACTCTCCACAAGTTTGTCTCTTTGTTCCGCGCTCGAGTAGTAGAACCCAGAGTTGATTTCTGACTTCTCGTACTCTAAGCTTACGTTCAGACTTAGGATGAACGCATTCTCCACTCTCTTGGGCATGTCGGGATGTCTGGCACCATGATCCAACGCAAGACCTCGAATGAGTTGTGTGTCGGAAGCGGTTCTGTGTTGCATCTTCATGATCTCGATCATATGTAAATCGGGCTTCGCTGGGGCTTGGTAGATGGCGAGGACTGCATCCACGATATCGGGGGTGAGCTTATCAGCGAGCGTGTGGTTGAGTTTCGTGGAGAGGGATGTGCGAGCAACGCACAGCAGAAGCTCTCGGTCGACCTCTCTCTCTAATTTGAAAGTGTCCAAGAACTATAAGTTGATCAGCGAGTTTCCGGCCTATTTAATAACGAGTCATACCTTCAGAGCCTCGGTCTTCGCGATTTCGTAGCCATCGGTGACGATTCGAGGATGTAAACCTTCCGAAATATATCTGTCTGCCTGCTTCAGGAGTTCTCCCACAAGTAGAACCACAGAAGTTGTGCCATCACCACAGATATCGTCCTGGGCCGTGGCTGCTCTCGCGATCATGACCGCCGTAGGATTTTGGATTTGCATCTCTCGTAGCAGAACGTTGCCATCTTTGGTAAGTTTTATCTGCAAAGCACGACGGATTAGCTCGAGGAGGGCGAAACTGCTGGGAGCTCTCGTACCGCGCCAGCACCGTCAACAAGCCTTGGAGTTGTTAGCAATAGCCAGACAGGAGTGATGGGCAAAACAAACATCTTGATGGTCCCCAACGGACCCAGGTTCGATTTCAGGACATCTTGCAGGCCCTCACCAGCGCTGATGTTGACTTTCAGAGCTTCTCCTCTTCTCTAGGTAAGGTCAGTAAATGTTTACTTTTTACCCTGGACCTGCGAAGACGTACTCTGGACTCTGCTTTCGGGTTGAGAAGCTGCGCGGCAGACATGTTGGCAATAGATCGTGATGGAATGTGTTTGTTCGTGGACGAGAGGCCGTGAGGAGTTTGTTGTCTGATTGTAGCTAGGTTTTCTCTATCTTGACGCGGGTTCAGAACTTTCTCGCGACTGAGCTACGGCGGCCGCTACTGTAATAGTGGGACTTGACGTCGCAACTTTAGGGGCCCCTCTCTAAAGTGGGCGAAACAATTATGTCCCGCGAAACAATTTTGTTCCGCACAGATTTTTATATGATATGTGTTACGGCTGGTAAGAGAAATGTTGTAATAGCTACCAAACGTACACTATGTAAGGTGAAAGAAAGACGAGGAGAGAAAGGGAGAACTATGATATTATGTAAGTTGAGGTAAATGGCAAGCAGCTTACGTACTAGCAAAGCGACTTTGAGAGTGCATCTACTAACGTATATATGTAGTACGTGCAATTAAGAGCTCACAGAATTTCAAGAAGCGTATTTTTTTGAATGATTTGATGTTCGAAATAATAGTATATCTCTAGTCTTTAATTGTTAGTATTTTTACCTCTGTTATTACAACGTGACTCTAACATATCTACAGTTATGAATCCTTAATAACGTGACTTAATTTGATTCTGAAATATAGAAAGGAATATGCTGAAGAAGGCGACGTGCTATATTGGCTATTTTTACAGTCTTGGTCTTCGAAACTTTCGTAATTTGAAAACGAAAGTAATGTTACGGTCTTGGTAGGTCTTGGCGTAGCTGGCATTGGTTTTATAACTAACGCGTTCTATCGAACTCTTGATTATTATACGAGAGATCTTTACGTTTATTACTATTAAGTCCCTCGTATCAGGTGGATTATTTCCTATGCCTCGAATATTGTGGAGTTGTTTTTCCCAGGCCCTAACCCACTTTTTAAGTGGGCCGCCTAGCCAAATCTACCTGCTGCTCTATGCAAGAAAATTTTCAGACCGCGCAACCAACGGTCTACGTGACGAATACGATTAAGGCATGTATATTTCCTTTATTATACCGATACCTTAGCTTCTTCAGTTCGAAAGTTATAGTTGCAACGAGCGCGCTACTTGCATGTATCGTTAAAGTAGCATACGTATTTTATAGAAGTCTTTTCGCTATTCGGACACTTAAGCTCTTATCGCTCGTAGATAGCTTAATTAAGTGTTGCTTTTTTTAAAAGCTTTTAAATTATAAAATAATAGTATATAGCTTTGCTGAATAAAACTAAGTTTCTCTTATGAAGCTTTAAGAAATAGATTTATATCTGTACTACCCCTTCTTATAAATAAATGTCGAAAGTATAATTTTGCAAAAGATCTTACCAAAGCTTAAACCAATTAACTTATATCTTTGAGCCAGTATTTAGTTTATATAATAGAGTTGATAGGGCTTTGAGCCATTAAGAAACCACCGCTTTATAATGTATAGGCCTAAACTGGGTCCGACATTTATTTATAAGAGGGGGTAGTTGTGACAGCCTGCCTTGTTACCTGCAGTCAGCTGATCACCCATCCAGGCCTAGCGCCTGTGGCCATGTATATAGACCTTCCTGAGCTCCCCGAGCTTCCTGTTTCCTCTCCTCACTTTGTATTCTAAGGTCAGAATTCATCAGTTCGTCACATTATACAAAGTCCTTCGATTAGGTCGTCGTATTACAGCTTATTGTTATTGATTATTATTACAGCTTACAGATTACGGCTTATTGATTATTGTTAAGAACGGAGTGAGTTACTTGTTAGGTGCTCTACGGTCTTCATTTATTGCTTACAGATTATTGTTTTTTTTACGACCTCACTTCTTCCTCAGCTCTTCCGACCTAAGAGAGCTCCCCTCTCAATTTTTGCACTTCGGTTGCAAGACGAACTCTCTTCCCCACTCTTTTTCCTGGCGTTTCCGACACTCAAACGCTCCCCCTTTCTCCTTATTCCACCACCATGTCCTCCCACGAAGACGACGGCCCTTTCCCCCTTACGAGAATCGCTCAATTGGAGTCTCTCGTAAAGCAATTACGAACGGCTCTTCGCTAGCGCAAATGCGTCCTTCTTGATCCCGATAAGTTCAACGGTACGGTTCAGCGGTAGGATACCTAGCTCCCTTTAATCAAGGCTAAGCTTCTCGTCGACGGTAAGGCTCTTAGCGGACCTACTGCGCAGTTCTACTACGTTTACTTTAATATAGAACCCGGTCCTTAAGCAATGGTTTTGACTCAATTGGCCTTAGCTCAAGACTCCGGCAATTGGGACTACAATACTCTTCTAGATCAGCTCGCTCTCGCTTACGACAATCCAAACAAAATTCAAAAAGCTAAAGATAAGCTGCTTGCTTGCAAGCAAGGTACGGACGCTCTCTATATCTACGTCTCACGCTTCGAACGACTTTTGCACGCTGCTCGCTGTCAGACCTGGCCCGACGCTAATAAGATTATTGCGTTCCGTAATGGTCTGAACTCAACTATACGGACCCGTCTGAATGGCCAATTGACTCTCCTAATTACGTATACCGAATACGTGCACGTCACTCAGCAGCTTGGACGCTCTTCCGGCTCTTCCGGCCCTTCCGGCCCGTCCTACGGATTCCCTCGACCTTCGGCCCTTCCTCAAAACCGCCCTCGCACGTCAACGAGCCCTCTTCCCGGCGACCCAATAGACCTTTCGGCAGTCGACCGCGCTCAACAACTCGAGCAATTGCAGCACGCCAACGAGCTCGGCGCTATAGAGCTTATCGACGCTCACGAGGCTGACCAAACTCAGCTATTGGAAGACCGATACCCCACTCTCCAGCATGCTCCTCACAGCACTCTTAATCAGCGCGAAGCTTGGCGCAAATCAAATCGCTATACCCGTTGCGGTGCAATCGACCACTAGATAGCTAGCTGTACCCTCCTTCCAGCTAAGCCCTTAACAAAGAAGCGAGTTCTCTAGGACCCTTTTTCGGACCGACCTGTCAAGGAAAATAAGGGTTTAAGCGAGTTTGACTCGGACGAAAGGGAGGAAATTTTAGCGGAATGGAACGCTTCTAAAGGCTACGACGCTGACCTTGACGATTATCGCGACCTATAGCCTCGGCGTATTTTTTTTGGTTTTTTTTTCAGCAATTCCACCCGTGAACCATGGTTTACGACTGAATTTTTTTATTTTTCCTTCCTCTATCAAGTACTTTTAAGAGAGCTAGGACAGCTCTCTAAAGGGGTAGTGTGACAGCCTGCCTTGTTACCTGCAGTCAGCTGATCACCCATCCAGGCCTAGCGCCTGTGGCCATGTATATAGACCTTCCTGAGCTCCCCGAGCTTCCTGTTTCCTCTCCTCACTTTGTATTCTAAGGTCAGAATTCATCAGTTCGTCACAGTAGTATCAAAATCAAGTATATCGAAGCCGAGGTCGTAAAACGTAGCGTTTAAAGATTCTAATAAAACATCTAAAGCAGCGTCGGTAATAAAGATTTCCGCTATTATAACTAAACAAATCGCAATAATAATACCTAAGTTGCAATTATATAGTATTCAAATGTAAGCGGCATTATGGAAAAAAAAATTCGCACAAAGCAGCGAGTAGATTTGGCTAGGCGGCCCACTCAAAAAGTGGGTTAAGGCATAAGAAAAACAACTCCATAATGTTCGGGGCATAATAAATAATCGGCCTTCGTTCGTAATAATAGTCAGTGCACTGACTTTGTGACCTGCGGGCTCTCGGTCACAGTCAGGACAAGCAAGTGTCCCAGGTCAAGCAAGTGTCCCACTTCAATTATTTCAACTTGTACCAGGGCAGAGGACCAAGTTCTCTGTAGTGTCACC